GGGCTCTGGGGACCTGCCTGCTGCCCTGGCCGGCAGCCCCCGAGCCCAGACGGCGGCGGAGAGCGGCTGCCGAGGCCGCGGGCTTGGACGCGAGGGAAGGGGTGCGGGTGTTGCTTCCTCTCCTCCAAGGGCGGCAGCTGGTTCGCTCCACCCGGGACACCTGGAGACGTGGCCTGCTAAGAAAGAGGGATTTCTAGGCAACCCGTCCGGACGTAGAGAGGGCGACCAGGAGAGTGGGCAGGGCGGCTGGAGTCGTGGGAAGAAGTTCGTGGGCTCCTTGGGGTAAGGTGTCTTTCTCTTGCAGACAAGGACGTGGGGACCACAAATGCCAGCTCAGCAGTGACGACGAGGAGGGGAACCAGAATGTCTTCTCGGGGTGGCACTCGGGACCAGGAGTTTACCGTCTCAGCACGCGGACGCTTAGAAACCCTCAACTCCTGGGACCAGCAAAGCTAGAGGTTGGCGATGCCCAGCGTTTGCGGCCAGCTCCTCTCCTCGCCTCTCTTCTTCCGCAGTTTCTTCTACTGCTACTCCTTCGTCTTTTTCTCTCTGATTTCTTCTTTCCCCTCACTCCACCTCGATACCTCTGGCCCACCGTTCTAGCTCTGCGCCCAGACCCTCCAGCCAACCCCCTCCCGGAGCTTCGAGCAGCTTCGCCTTCCCAGGAAACTGATCCTGTCTGTCCGGCTCCTCTCGCCGCCGCCGCCGCCATCTGCCCGCTAGGCTCCCGGCCTCCAGGAATCGCGGGCAAGAAGCGGCAGAAGAGGAGCTCGCCGGCAGCTTTGCGGAACCAGCATCGCGGGGAAGCCGGCTCTCCCGCGGCCGTCACCGCCGGCTCCGGCCCCCGAGCTCCACTCCGGACCAGCCCCTCCTCGCAGGGCCAGGGAGTGAGCTGCGAGGCGGAAGATGCTACTTTGTTATTTTTCCTTCCAAAGGGCGGTCTGTGGGGAAGGAGTGGGGAGAAACTCCAGCATTAGCTGTGGGGTAAGTGTTCCCCAGGCTGCAGCGACCTGCATGCCCGAGGGCGAGCCCCAGCGCGCGGGGCCAGGGCAACAGATGCGGGGGAGAGACAACGAGACAGAGCGAGCGAGCGGGAGGAGGGGGACGGAGAAATAGAGACGGTGGGAGAGCAAACGAGCTAGAGACTTTGAGAGCATAATTGTGCGACCGTCTAGTTACCTCTGCGCCGCGACATTGGCGTCCACCACGCCGACATTCCGGACCCAGGACCTGACCGAATCCATCTCGGCGCTCAGTGATTTCTCTTTCAGAGCTGGCCCTCTTCCTAAAGTATCTTGAATCCCAAACATTTAAAAAGTATGATCTGTCTCTTTAAAAATAAGAGTTACCACGCTGTCCTTACTGTTCCCAACGTTGCCACCAAACCGTTTCCTCCAAAGCAATCCAAAAAAAGGGACCAAGTACTGAAGTTTGAGTCTCTCTTGAAAAAAAAAAAAAAAGATAACCCGTCGTTTGCTTCACGCGTGAGGTGCGGATTGGTGCAGTTAAAGTTTGGGTTTTATCCTCCGCAAGTTCAGATCTGCCGCCTCGGGTCCTCGGTCCTAGGTCGCTCGCATCCTTCCAGCGGCAGCGCTGCCTGCAGAAAGTGATCACAATTTAGAAGCATCACCTGTTCTGGGAGAAACAGGAGGAGATTGATGACTGCCTAATCTCTCCCTTTCCTCCTGGTCCCCCACCCTCCCGGCTCCCCCCCACCGCTGCAATTTAGAAAAAAAAAAAATTCCCAACAGGATCAGTTGTAAAAAGAAGGGGAAGACCCGGAGCGGAGAGGAGGCGGTGGCTGCGAGCACCTCGGAGCCGCTGCCGCCGC